AGATGTTTTAATCCTTTCCCTTCTAGTTCTTTTAGACTACCGTTTATATATGAGTTTGGTTGTTGTTGTTGTTGTTGCGAGGACGTTAACCTCTAACCCCCTCCCCAAACACACACATAAACACACACACACAAAATCCGTAACACACACACACAAAATATGTAGTGATAAACGCGTTCAATACACACACTGACGAGTGTTTACGTAGCGTAACGACATCGATTTTGTGCTTGGCCAGAAACGCAAGTTTTACCCTCCTTGCTAAATGATACTTTCTGACCCCCATTTGGCACCTAACAGAAATATGGCCTTTACTCCTTCCTTTGAAATTGTCTGTTTCATTTTCTATGGCATAATCGCCCCTGGGATGTTCGGACATAATCAATCTGGCGAGTTATATCCCTCTCGAGACCACAACTCAATCGCAGACCGACTAATGCTGCCGCTAGCCGTTTCCCTATGTCATTCCTCCGGTTTGTTTGCGGTTTACCCCAATCATAGACATTGCCTCTGGGACAGCATCTCCGTTTCCAACACTGGAGTCGACGGTTGTCGACAAAAATGATTCTGTAATCGTTTTCTAGTGGAAATGTAAAATGCAAAATGTTTCTTTTAGTAATGTATTTGTGACATTTTTTATTACGTATATATCTAAATGGACTCGTTTAACAGGAAATGTACAATAACTTATTTCTACACTGTAAGGTAAATTACATTTGATTTAGCAGCAGGAAAATTAACACGTTTTTCCTAAATGAAAATTCGATCGCAGCAAGGCATGTTAAAGAATTTTAACATTTAAGTTGAATTAGTGAAAGTAAGTCCACATGTTAAATCAACAACTTTTAAACAGTAAAGGTGGCATTTCTTACATAAGTTATATACGGTGACATTTCTTATATAAATCATATAGAAACATGCGAAATGGCACAAAAATGCCGTTTTCACTTGCAATATTTTATTTAAGTTTTGCCAAACGTTTTTTTTCATGGAAAAAGAACGATATGATTCTAGCTTTAAGAAACATCCGAAACCCAAACTGTTATTGAATAATAACGTCGAGGATAAAAAAAAACCAACAACATCATTTTAACTGATTGCAGGGTTCCATTTATATACTTTGGTTGCGGTTCCTTTTGTCCTTAATGTATATGTATGTATGTATTTCTAAATTGAGGTCTGGGTTATATGTAAGCATCTATGTTAATGCTAACATAACTTTGTGACTTGATCTTCATGCTCAAATGAAGGTTGGTATTGTGGTTAAAATAAAATCTTCGCAAAGTACAATGCCATAGCAGATGTTCTATGTTGTAAAGTTCCTTTTTTGTGAGATGATGAACCACTCAAAACAACAACTTTAGGGTGGGAAAACACTATTAAACAACACCAATAAAATTATTTTCCTTGACGCAATATTTCTCTTACTATGTCTTTGACTACTCAGAACTAGCCATTCCAATGTAACTTCGACAGCAGCTCTTGATCTCAGAAGCATGTCTTCCACGGAAAAGACTTTAATAAAATTTGTTACATTTGTAGCAAGCAGCGTTCCTCTTTAACAACTTAAACAATAATTTCCATTGAGTACTATTCACATAAATTCGTGAAGTTGGTTCCGTCTTTAAATTCATAAGAGACACGATAAATGTATAATACAGACCTCTGAGCATGGGAATGGTACTGTGGTGAAGTGAAACATTCGTTAAATACTTCTATTTCGATTGAAGACTGCATCTGCATTTCTCACACGATTCCAAAAAAAAACCCCACATCATAGCCATTTTTTCTTGGATTAGAGACAATGAAATCAAACGCTTAGACGAGAGCATGCCATCGGTTAGAGAGTTAAATTAAATATTTGTATCTCAACGTGCTTCCAATACAAATCGTTCTCGATGAGAAATGAACAATCGAATTGGAAAATCGGGCAATCGTTGCAGAACTGTGGATTTTGTATCAATTAATTGTCGGAGAACATCCGTGGGATAAGGGGGAAGCACCTACTGGACGTGATAGATGGTTGTTCAGCCATTCAATAAAGTCAGGATAAATAATGTCATTCAGTTGGTTGGTGTCCTCAGTGGTAAACACTGCAGCCTTATAAGAACCGTTATAAACGAAATGCGTTCTATCAAATTTTACATAAATCAAGAAGGTCGCAATGTTGTATTATTCTTTTTTATATCTCCTTTATCTGATCATCCAGAAAAATGTTACTCGACTAAAATGGCACCAAGCTTCCATTTCTATGCCAGAAATACATACAAAACTCTTCTTTATGATTCTTTGTTCTACATTGACGGTTTATCAATACAGTGAAGATTGCTTTTTCAAAAATGTGTCTGAACACTTATATAAGATTTCTACTTTTGGTGTTAAATGCATGACAGTTGCGTCAATTAAAAACTAGATATTGTAAAAGTTAACCATCTTAAGCTTGTCATTATTGGTAATTTGATATCTGCTTTCTTCATTTGAAATAGTTTTAGGCTTCCAGTCATCCTCGATACTGCAGAGGTTACGCTCATTTACGCTCTCTGCATTCCTGATAGATATCATAGCAAAATTGAAGGCTCAGTCTGCACCACATTGTGGATGAGTCAAGAAGGCTAGTTTTGTCCTCTGATGAACATCAGAAGAAACTCACGGCCGCGTAACGGTAAAATTGACTTGCTTTGAAGTCGAGTGTGGCTCCTCTGTAATCTTCAAAGGACATATACGGATAAAGTTAATACACCTGAGACCAATCAAAGAGCAATCTTCGTGTCTTCAATTTTGATATGATTTGGGTGCAGAGATCGTAACCCTGGAGTCCAGCCGACCAAACGGATATTCATTAATACAAATAACGAGATTCTTTTTGTGCGATATTTAATGCTTGTGTCTTGACAAAAGGGCAAATTTCCTCGGAAAAAAAACCTTTTTGTCCACTCTGTCGTTTTTATTTTTCGGTTAATACGATATTAGTATAAAAGTTATCTTTGATTAGATTACACAAACAGGGTTTGTTGACGAGGACAGTATCAATAAAACTGTTTTACACCTTAAGATTTCTATCAATAGAGGACCTTCAATACAAATGAGATTCCTACCACAAATAAACAACAATATATCAAAGCTTCGAAGGCTAGTAGTACACAGCTAATTAATCTCAGTTAGTGCCAATATCACCTGGGGCACCTTAATTTCCTGTTCACTTAAAAACAACCCAATCGTGCAGGAGGTCCAAATATATCCCGCCGGATTAACTGTTTGATAATAAAGTTTCACAAACTTACTAACGGTCATTGAGCTTCATTAACCAGATCAGTAAGAAGAGACCAACTGAAGGTGGTATTCCCCAGGGTAATTTGTCCTTTATCGATCCTTATTGTTCCTACTTTCTGTACTGAAGTATTTGCCTTGTGGACGCTCTATATCAGCGTTAACTCTTAAAAGACAATGCTTTATCGCTTGTAAAAAGGGAAGCCTAGCTTTCTGTTGATATATTCTAGATCAGCGACTGCCCGTATCAGCAGAATAAAATTGATTTGAAAAGGAGCATTTGTGTTTATTTCCTCTACCAAAACATGCTGGTTTAGTGAATAGGAACATCTTACTCCAGAACGAATAATGAAATTGGGTACAGAACATGGTGATTGTTTTCTTTAAAATAGTAACATGCTAACGCCTTCGTCTATCTAAATATGAACCATAAGAAACAAAAGCTAATAAAAATTTTGAATAAGGGTAAATCTCATTATGTTAAATCTACATTTTACGAAACAAAAACCAAAATAGCATATTTAGACTTATATATATAATTACTATTGCGTATGGAACATTACATGTATAAAGTTAAAACATGTTGAACCATTACAGTGGTAAAGACATAGGCTAACCTCCATTCTTTTACTGCAATATTGTTTTAACATTTGTAAATAAAAAATCGTTATTAAACCTCCTTATTGTTAAGCGTTTGCCCAGGCAAGAACGGCTAAAGGTTCTGTCCCCTGGCCGAAATAAATCAAAGTTCCTGAAAATAGAGATTGAATTACTGACGTCTGCTTGACGTTCAGATTTAAATTAGTGCTGGTAAGGAATGGTTAGCGTTGTCTGTATAAAATGACCGGATAGAGTGTCGTACCAAGGTTATGACATTCCCATGAGTTATCAATCAATTTAACCTATTTATCTTTATAATGCATAATAAAGTCATAAACAGTCAACTTTAAATAATTTAAATCAAAGGGAAAATACATTTCAAACAGAAATATTACAAAAAAACAGTACGAGTAGTATTTACATCATATCTAAATATGTTTATGTAATATATTGAGCTTGCTATTATGTTGATAAAACATGTGGTTGAATTATTCCATAGAAAAGTCCAAATGCAATATTTACTGAAGTAACCTTGCCTGCTGCCAACCTCTCTATAATGCAACTTTCTCATTTAAGTGTTAATAGAAATCAATTGCCTTGAGTTTCCACTAGGTTATACCTAGGAACTAATATTTCCCGATTTCTCAGAATATAAAGACAGAATACAAGAAGAAAAAAATTCTTTAACAATTTTTGCGCAATAGTGATAGTATTATTGATGATACAATACAGACTAATGAATACTCAATAAAGCTGTGTATTTCTTTCTGCAATGTCACTAGCGTTCCAGGCATCACTAGTTAGACAGGTGTCAGAATTACGTGACCTGGCAGGGTACTACTTGGTTCAGGCTACCAAACGTCAGTGCGGTCTATGACAACAGTAAATGGGCCCCTGAATGGCAAAATCATCCGGGGACGACATGTTCAAATAGGTTTAGCTGTTGTCATAACTTAGAAACAGTATATATGTACTTGTTTTAGCAAACTTGAAACGGATTAGTTTCATGGGGATATACTTAAATAAATGTTTGCTTGTTTATTGCTGGTTTCTGAGTAGTATTTTCACATCAGAAATTGTCTATTATGATCTTTTTGGCAGTGATTATTAAACAAAATTATTTTATTTTCCAGAAACCTGTTTCCAGAAAATCTCATCGTCTCTTGCATCACCGGAGTAAGTATTGTCTTATTTTCTTTTCAATTTTGAATTTCATACTGATAATCTACATATCAATAACTACGCCAATGCTTGATATGTGTTTGAGCTAATTCGACGAGTTTAACGAGGATGACAGAGAAACCTTGTAAGATAAAGCTGAACTATTTATTCTAAATTTTAAAATACATATTTTCCCTCAGAACGAATAATGCCAAGACATCAAATGTGTCGAAAATACTCTCGACGACGAATAATCGTTAAATTTTAAATATTTTGTGTAAAATCTTTATTGAAATTCATTTTTTTTCTACAACTTCCTTTTTTGAAATTCAAATATGTAGCTGTATATATGATTTAACATCATTCCTTTCAAATGCTTATGCAGATCTTCATATCTCGTATATGACAATGGAGACATGTTAAATGTTTCCGCCACCACTTTTTGAAATTCAAATATTGCATTGTTGTAAATCATGAAAAATACTATTTGTAACATTGATCAATATCAAATGCTTTGAAATACGTTACAACTCTCCGTCTTTCAAATGTTTTAATTAACAAAACTTGAAATGCTTTTCCTTATAATATTTTATCTCAGGTATACTTTGGCTTCATTACAGTATAGGACCGCGTTAAAAGAAGAGGTTATCGAGAAGAAAATTCTCAATAACACGTTCAATGGGACCGGCTATAATGACAGCATCATCCTGGCGAACGGAACCAACCACACCATCGATGAACTTGCTACAAGTAATGTCTTGAGACAGATTATCCTAACCTAAAACATGTTTTGTAATTAATTTTGTTAGTAAATCACTCGACTAGCATTTTCAAGAGACAGTTAACATGAAAGTCAAATTCGTCTGTAAATATTTATAACGTAAACAAATACTATACGATTATCAATATTATTCAAAACAGAATTATTCTATTTATCGTATTTGCTAAAGAAAATCATGATACTGAATTGATAGGACGTATTGTCAATGAATCGTCAAATGACGTCACATTTAAATCAAGCTGATCAGCTCATTCAAAATATATATGTTGCTTTAGGAATGGCCATGCTACTGTGACATTATATTTTTCATTTCAATGTTTAAAACATGACAATAGTTTTATAACAACACTGAGTGTTATAAATGACATATGATCTTTTCCATGTTTTTAAATGCCCCTCTGTTTCAACAGTAGTTCAGACAATTTGGATTCCGACACCAACAATGAGCCCTTCAAGAATAAAACAGCTGTATGGTGCAGTGTAATTCCTTTCTGGCACACTGTATCTGCGTGTAACGTTCACCTTTTAAAATATAGGTCAGGCGACTCTCAGTTTTTAAATTCAGATACGGTTAAATACGTTACCGAGGCCGTTGATCATGCTTTTTTTGTTTTGCCTGGCCACAACCTTCCTGGTTTGAGACTAACATGCTTCTCAGTGGCTGGTAAAAGAGAAAAAACGATCCGCATAACCTAATAAACTTCAGAAACGTGTCATTTCGTGGTATTTAGTTCGATTACAAAATATATTGACAAGTCATAATATCGATGATTTTTTTTTATGACGAATTTAGACCAAGCTAACAATACTTTGAATCATTTTAATACCTATAGTTCAATTTCAACTAGTTAAATTTACATGTCCTCACACCGATGTCATAGATAGGACTTTTTATGGGATTGAAATTTATGGTGATTCTGCCACCATTTAGGGGATTTGATAAACTTTAATTGGTTTTTCGTGTACACTGTGCAAAAATAAGTTCTAGCTTTACAAGGCTCCAGCCAAGTATGGGGAATAATAATCCACCAGTCAAGTCAACCACCCTGAAATTGACCTGAAATAGTCATTTGAAATATTTAGCAAGGAAACAACTCGTTAAAATTGGTACAAGTCGATACAGCAAGCCAAACAAACCAAACATTAACTGCACCATGTGACCATTTTGATCAATTTGGAATTAATCAGTTTTTGTAAAGGTCAAAAGAATTGTATTGATTGTACCCTTCTAATGCATTGGTTGTACCCTTTAAATGTATTGGTTGTACCCTTTAAATGTATTGGTTTTACCCTTTACATGTATTGGTTGTACCCTTTAAATGTAGTGGTAGTACCCTTTAAATGTATTGGTTTTACCCTTTAAATGTATTGGTTGTACCCTTTAAATGTATTGATTGTACCCTTTAAATGTATTGGTAGTACCCTTTAAATGTATTGGTTGTACCCTTTAAATGTATTGGTAGTACCCTTTAAATGTATTGGTAGTACCCTTTAAATGTATTGGTATTACCCTTTAAATGTATTGATTGTACCCTTTAAATGTATTGGTAGTACCCTTTAAATGTATTGGTTTTACCCTTTAAATGTATTGGTAGTACCCTTTAAATGTATTGGTAGTACCCTTTATGTTTATGCAGTTCAACGTAAGGAGCATCCTCGAAATTCCAGGGTAAAGTTTGCTTACGCTCTCTGCACCCCTGGAATACACAGAGCGTAAGTGAGCAGAACCCATGGAGTATCGAGGATGGGTAAGGAGGCACTTGTTTGAAATTATTTTGTTTGCAGATGTAGGAAGTCAACTTAAACATGTATTGCACCATATGTTATTTATTGATCGATACTTGACCTTTCCGTAGTATGATGATGCTTTTACGTCAAACAAATGTTGCCATTACCTTTACAGCTTTTCATATCAATACTGTGATGACAACTATGTCAACACCATATCTTAAAATAATTTCTCCAGACATTTGTGTGTTCACCATTTGAACGGTAGTGTATCACATCATTTAAGTTAATTTTATTGTTCTCTTCTTCAGTTTATTAAATGTCGACACTTCTGTATTCTAGTTGTGCGCGAGGTAATATCGGTTCCAACGAAGGGAGAGACTGGGCAGGTGAACATACTTGGTCTTGTCGTTTTCTCTGTATGCATGGGTGTCATCATCGGTCGAATGGGTCCCCGGGGGAAGCCCATTGTTGACTTCTGCAACTGCCTGGTCGAGGCTACCATGAACCTCTTCATCGTCTTCATCTGGTAAAACATAATAAATGTCCGGGGCATTTAAGATATAATAATCAATCAAAACAATACAACTTACACCACTTATATAGCAATTTTTCCCTGTTGAATAGTTTGGTTTTTATCATCAATTAAGTCTAATGGTTTAATATCTTATTTACATTTTATTGTTTTTTCAACGTTTTTTATCGGAATTTTTGCTCTACAAATGATAAAATCCTTTCTGACAGCCATCAGTCCTGCGTAACCATGGTAAAAAAAAATCTGGGTTTTTTTTTACATGAAGAAAACTATAGATAGATAAGTTACAAAGGCACGGTTACTAAGCTTTGTGGTATTTATTTCATTTATTTATTTTCATGTATTTTTATTTCATTTTTTATTTCTGACTTTTTCATATTTGGAGGTAAAGGTCGAGATGATTTGTGAATGAACATTTGTCTCCTTTCAGGTATTCTCCTGTAGGTATCATGTTTTTGATAGCAGGAAAGATAGTGGCTATGGAAGATTTCAGTGTCCTCCTGACCCAGGTGGGACTTTACTTCCTCACCGTGCTGTGTGGACTGTTCCTCCACGGCGCCCTCGTCCTTCCCGGACTCTACTTCCTGTGTACCAGGAAAAACCCATACAAGTTTATGTGTGGAATTTTCCAGGCCATGGCTACCGCGTTCGGAACATCTAGCAGGTAATATAGAATCAATGTTTGGTGAAAGGAAATGTTTTTAAGAAAACTGTATTTAAGGGTAAATATCAAAGTTTTTCTTTATACACAAACAATGTACGGTTCCAACGTGTCGCAATGTTTCAAAACCGACTGGTCCCTTTGTCAAGTTATGACTGAGTGCAGTCATAGCTCGACAAAGTAAACGTTTCGACATATGTTTATACGGGCGGATTGGTCGAGTGGTTATTACTCCGGCCTTCCACGCAGGCGGCCGGGGTTCGATCCTCGAAGTCGTTGAACGCATGGATTATTCAGAGAAAGTGTTTTTCTCCTGCACACACAGCCACACAACTCCAACAACCCAGGTGGAGTATAAAATGGTCTGGAGTGGTTGTTGTGGTATCTGTGCTGTAGCGTTCAAGTGAGGTGGCACTAAAAATGATGCCGTTGGAAGCACGGTCCCACTACAAACAGAACACAATACATCTCCAGCACACACGCAGCCAATACACACACAGGGGGTTATTAGCCAGGTGACATAGGACTATTAGTTATCGCTTGATAAGGCAGCTCCTGCGAATTCCTCAAAACTGTATTGATTAATGAATATGGCAATTGTATTGATTGTATACATTGTATATCTATGCACTGTCAAGGGCTTTAGAGTGGCTTATTCTTGCTAGATAGGGCGCTATATCAAGCTTTGTTTATTATTATTATCAAGCAAAACTGTGATATTATATATTTCCAAACATATGAATATTATTGAATATATTTAAGGGTGTCTTCTACCTTACATCTCCTCCATTGGATTTCCGTCAGAGTAATATACCATATATTGTATCAATAGATTCAGATACCTAATTGTGCAGAGAGAAAAAAAGATATAGTCGACAATCCGTTATCCAGATTTGTGTAAATCACATTTTAACTATCTAACTGATCTTCTTAAGGAGCAAAAACTTGAAAATAAAAATAACTCATCAGCTCGCTGCACATGTATGGTCCCTGATAAACTCGATTATAACAAACTACCGTGTGAGCATTCAAACAGAATGTAATATCATTATACTATGAAAGCAAAAACTCCCGTCACCTTATACTTAAGTCCCTTACGACCCCATATGGTGATTTTTTTATGGGAGTTGTCGTTTCGCTTTGATCATTGGCACTAATTCTAGTTGAAAAGTGCTGTTCCGTCAATAATTAATGTTGACAATACATCTACAAACAAAGTAACTATTTATCATTTAAAGACAACTATATTCATGCCAGTATTCCAAAGGCAAATCGGTTACAACCATATTTAAAATAAACCCTAGTGGGTTTCATGCAGTTAGTGTAACCGATCTTATCAGCATAAATATAACAAAAACATTCCTTATGTAATAGTCTTAATGTTTCCCTTAAATAGGAAATACTAAAAACATTCCTTATGTAATGGCATTAATGTTTCCCTTTAAAATGAAATATTAAAAACATTCCTTATGTATTAGCATTAATATTTCCCTTAAATCGGAAATACTAAAAACATTCCTTATGTAATAGCATTAATGTTTCACTTAAATAGGAAATACTAAAAACATTCCATATGTAATAGCATTAATGTTTCCCTTAAATAGGAAATACTAAAAACATTCCTTATGTAATAGCATTTATGTTTCCCTTAAATAGGTAATACTAAAAACATTCCTTATGTAATAGCATTAATGTTTCCCTTAAATAGGAAATACTAAAAACATTCCTTATGTAATGGCATTAATGTTTCCCTTTAAAATGAAATATTAAAAACATTCCTTATGTATTAGCATTAATATTTCCCTTAAATCGGAAATACTAAAAACATTCCTTATGTAATAGCATTAATGTTTCCCTTTAAAATGACATACTAAAAGCATTCCATATGTAATAGCATTAATATTTCCCTTAAATAGGAAATACTAAAAACATTACTTATGTAATAGAATTACTGTTTACCTAAAATAGGAAATACTAAAAACATTCCTTATGTTATAGCATTAATATTTCCCTTAAATAGGAAATACTAAAAACATTACTTATGTAATAGAATTACTGTTTACCTAAAATAGGAAATACTAAAAACATTCCTTATGTAATAGCATTTTTGTTTCCCTTAAATAGGAAATACTAAAAACTTTCCTTATGTAATAGCATTAATGTTTCCCAAAAATTCCTTGTGTTATAGCATTAATGTTTCTCTTATATAGGAAATACTAAAACCATTCCTTACGTAATAGCATTAATGTTTCCCATAAATAGGAAATACTAAAAACATTCCTTACGTAATAGCATTAATGTTTCCCATAAATAGGAAATACTAAAAACATTCCTTATGTAACAGCATTTATGTTTCCCTTAAATAGGAAATACTAAAACTAAAAACATTCCTTATGTAATAGCATTTATGTTTCCCTTAAATAGGTAATACTAAAAACATTCCTTATGTAATAGCCTTAATGTTTCCCTTAAATAGGAAATACTAAAGACATTCCTTATGTAATAGCATTAATGTTTCCTTTAAATAGGAAATACTAAAAACATTCCTTATGTAACAGCATTTATGTTTCCCTTAAATAGGAAATACTAAAAACATTCCATATGTAATAGCATTAATGTTTCCCTTATATAGGAAATACTAAAACCATTCCTTATGTAATAGCATTAATGTTTCCTTTAAATAGGAAATACTAAAAACATTCCTTATGTTATAGCATTAATATTTCCCTTAAATAGGAAATACTAAAAACATTCCTTATGTTATAGCATTAATATTTCCCTTAAATAGGAAATGCTAAAAACATTCCTTATGTAATAGCATTAATGTTTCCCAAAAATTCCTTGTGTTATAGCATTAATGTTTCTCTTATATAGGAAATACTAAAACCATTCCTTATGTAATAGCATTAATGTTTCCCAAAAATTCCTTGTGTTATAGCATTAATGTTTCTCTTATATAGGAAATACTAAAACCATTCCTTACGTAATAGCATTAATGTTTCCCATAAATAGGAAATACTAAAAACATTCCTTATGTTATAGCATTAATATTTCCCTTAAATAGGAAATGCTAAAAACATTCCTTATGTAATAGCATTAATGTTTCCCATAAATAGGAAATACTAAAAACATTCCTTACGTAATAGCATTAATGTTTCCCATAAATAGGAAATACTAAAAACATTCCTTACGTAATAGCATTAATGTTTCCCATAAATAGGAAATACTAAAAACATTCCTTACGTAATAGCATTAATGTTTCCCATAAATAGGAAATACTAAAAACATTCCTTACGTAATAGCATTAATGTTTCCCATAAATAGGAAATACTAAAAACATTCCTTATGTTATAGCATTAATATTTCCCTTAAATAGGAAATGCTAAAAACATTCCTTATGTAATAGCATTAATGTTTCCCTTAAATAAGAAATACTAAAAACATTCCTTATGTAATAGTATTAATGTTTCCCTTAAATAGGAAATACTATAAACATTCCATATGTTGTAGCATTAATGTTTCCCTTAAATAGGAAATCCTGAAAACATTCCTTATGTAATAGCATTAATGTTTCCCTTTAAAATGACATACTAAAAGCATTCCATATGTAATAGCATTAATATTTCCCTTAAATAGGAAATGCTAAAAACATTCCTTATGTAATAGCATTAATGTTTCCTTTAAATAGGAAATACTAAAAACATTCCTTATGTAACAGCATTTATGTTTCCCTTAAATAGGAAATACTAAAAACTTTCCTTATGTAATAGCATTAATGTTTCCCTTTAAAATGAAATACTAAAAACATTCCTTATGTATTAGCATTAATATTTCCCTTAAATCGGAAATACTAAAAACATTCCTTATGTAATAGCATTTATGTTTCCCTTAAATAGGTAATACTAAAAACATTCCTTATGTAATAGCATTTATGTTTCCCTTAAATAGGTAATACTAAAAACATTCCTTATGTAATAGCATTTATGTTTCCCTTAAATAGGTAATACTAAAAACATTCCTTATGTAATAGCATTAATGTTTCCCTTAAATAGGAAATATTAAATACATTCCTTATGTAATAGCCGTAATGTTTCCCTTAAATAGGAAATACTAAAACGATCCTTATGTAATAGCCTTAATGTTTCCCTTAAATAGGAAATACTAAAAACATTCCTTATGTAATAGCATTAATGTTTCCCTTAAATAGGAAATTCTAAAAAACATTCCTTATGTTATAGCATTAATGTTTCCCTTAAATAGGAAATACTAAAATTATTCCATATGTAATAGCATTAATGTTTCCCTTAAATAGGAAATACTATAAACATTCCATATGTTGTAGCATTAATGTTTCCCTTAAATAGGAAATACTAAAACGATCCTTATGTAATAGCCTTAATGTTTCCCTTAAATAGGAAATACTATAAACATTCCTTATGTAATAGCATTAATGTTTCCCTTAAATAGGAAATAATAAAAACATTCCTTATGTAATAGCATTAATGTTTCCCTTAAATAGGAAATACTAAAAACATTCCTTATGTAATAGCATTAATGTTTCTCTTAAATAGGAAATACTAAAAATATTCCATATGTAATAGCATTAATGTTTCCCTTAAATAGGAAATACTATAAACATTCCATATGTTGTAGCATTAATGTTTCCCTTAAATAGGAAATACTATAAACATTCCTTATATAATAGCATTAATGTTTCCCTTAAATAGGAAATACTAAAAACATTCCTGGTTGTAGTAGCATTAATGTTTCCCTTAAATAGGAAATACTAAAACATTCCATATGTAATAGCATTAATGTTTCCCTTAAATAAGAAATACTAAGAACATTCCTGATGTAATAGCATTAGAGTTTCCCTTAAATAAGAAATACTAAAAACATTCCTTAAGTAATAGCATTAATGTTTCCCTTAAATAGGAAATACTAAAAACATTCCTTATGTAACAGCATTTATGTTTCCCTTAAATAGGAAATACTAAAAACATTCCTTATTTAATAGCATCAATGTTTCCCTTAAATAGGAAATACTAAAAATATTCCTTGTGTAATAGCATTAATGTTTCCCTTAAATAGGAAATACTAAAAACATTCCTTATGTAATAGCATTAATGTTTCCCTTAAATAAGAAATCCTAATAACATTCCTTATGTAATAGCATTAATGTTTCCCCTTAAATAAGAAATACTTATGTTGTTTTTCTGACTGAATTGTTATATTATATTTATATATGTGCATATGTAGAGGACCTTTGTGAAGATATGTAGTATCCTAAAACGTGATCCTCTTTAAAAAAAGTGATTATTATTATTATTATTATTCATACACAAACAATGAATCACAGTTTAACAAATAAACATATCATCCACTGCATCTTTGTAAGACATTATAAAGGAATGCAAACTGCTCTCTCTTAATCGGAAGAGCCGACACCTGAAAGCCCCAGTGCAGAATCGGGAAGGTTTTCTGTACTCGTCTTATGGATAAAGAACGTATCAAATCTGATCTGCTACCTCCATCACAAGACCTCCCTCTTCTTCTGTCTCCAAACTGTGGAGTCTCCTAGCTACAATTGGCTAGCCAATTTTGAAAATATGATGACCGGGTTTGATGTCCTGCTATATCTGGCCCATGCTATGATATTTCATGAAGACGACACTTTAATTGAAGCAGAAGTAAACCCCGTCATTGTGGGAAACATATTCAAATAGCCTGATTTATACAAAAAAAAAGGAAAAAATACACATTTCCGGATTTTACGTCTAAGCATCAACTAAGATCTTTTAACGATGTCTTCTGATAGCACAATGACACACAACATAAGAAAAAAATAAGAAAAATAAAAGTATAGAGATCTAGGGCAGCCGATCAATTTAGGGTCTCTTTAATACTCCCGATAAGAGAACATATGAGAAAGAAATGCCATGATTCAGCAGGTTAGTTGTCTGATATGAGCATGCAGTGGGCTTCAATAGGCTTTCCACTCGAACCTGCAGCTGATCAATATCAATGACAATAATTTGTTTGAATATATATCCTTTGCATTTCATTCAAACATAATTCCGTATGATCAGTGATACGGACATGAACAGATGCTTGATCGTTTGGTTGTGGCCCACCACGGTACACTTTCCGTACACTTTTATCGTGCCTTTTCATAGCAATAAAATAATGCTTGGTTACCAACACATCCAAACGTATGTTTTGATTAAAACGAATCTTTAACAGTCGTGTTTGAAGATGAAAATATAATTCTGTATCGGTCTTCCGAGGTTTGTTTTAAGGTTGGAATACGTCACGTTTAGATACAAATCTGATACAGCGTCTGTCCTAAGGGACCAACTCGCGATATATACAAATATAAGCTTTCTTTGTTCCATATTCTCCAGCGACCAGCCGTGCAAACATTGATCATACTGAAGAACGCTTTCAAAAACTAGATCGGCTTGTTTGATCCATTTTCCTTTTTAATTAAAACACAAAATACCAAAGGCGGTTTCCCTTATACAACTGAATTGAATCCGTACGCCGTGCTACCATTGATGGGATTAGTATGGCGAATGTCGTATGTCGCTGTGATCAGCATTACTATGAGTGAGCTGACGTACTGGAGTTGTATGGTAGATAGTTTATAATGATGTATTATTGATTTTTTAAAGAACATAAGCTAGAAGGAATCTCCTGAAGTATTTTCATTTTGTTTTATTTTATTTCATTTCACGTAAAAATATCTGACACTATTACCAACGCTGATTCGGGGGAAATATACTCGATGTATCCCACTACATGCTATCCTAACAGGCATAATAGGCCACTAGTGTTGGGTGCTAAATCGGGAGTATTCTGCTAAGGACCTTAAAGAAACAAAAATTGATAAGTTGCTTCCATTGCAACACTAAGTCTATCTATATTTCTTTGTTCTTTTCTCACTCCGCTGATCTTTGTTTTTGGCAGTTTTTTCCTGGTTACCCGTGTTGTTGTTTTTTAATAATCTGAGCTGTTACGAGGACGTTAGGCCTCGAATAATCCATTTGACAATAAATTTGAGGGTGATAATCGATATTTAACCAAGTGCTGCCCCGAAATAAGAAATATATATTAAATCATTTGAAGAGCCTGTTAAGAGTTCCGACACAAGTCACACACGCCAGGAGTCGAACCCACGACTACCGACACGGCGGGTTTCAAACGCTCTAGCCATCACAGCTGACCGGAGCTGGTTCCTTCTGACAACTATATTGCTTCTGTATTGGACTAGGATATAATAAATACTCCTTGAACTTCAAAGTAGATTTTTATCCATTTTCCAAATATTTTTAGCTTTGACTGTCCCTCTGGAAGTATTTTCCTGAACATTTTAGATATAGCAAGAACTAATTGATTATAAGTATATGGGGTAGTAGTTGTTTGTAATATATCAAAAACAAATAAACCAAACAAAATATTTGATATTACGTTGTAGGAATTATTTCCGAATTTTCATTTTACTTTTTACACATTTTTGAAGTATTGTATATTGTCCATAGTATAATAAGTTGAAATATTAAGGCCAGGAAAACTGTAAATGTTGTATTTAGTGCATTTACAACGCATACAATTTGCTTAATGTACAATGTTGTGTCAAAAGAATGCAAGAGAATATCGAGGAGTGAAGGAAAGCTAGCTCTATTTCAGGTAAATCTATTTCTATTTCAGGTAAAGCTAGCTCCATTTCAGGTAAAGCTAGCTCTATTTCAGGTAAAGCTAGCTCCATTTCAGGTAAAGTTAGATCCATTTTAGGTAAAGCTAGCTCCATTTCAGGTAAAGCTAGCTCTATTTCAGGTAAAGCTAGCTCCATTTCAGTTAAAGCTAGCTCCATTTCAGGTAAAGCTAGCTCCATTTCGGGTAAAGCTAGCTCCATTTCAGGTAAAGCTAGCTCCATTTCAGGTAAAGCTAGCTCTATTTCAGGTAAAGCTAGCTCCATTTCAGTTAAAGCTAGCTCCATTTCAGGCAAAGCTAGCTCCATTTCAGGTAAAGCTAGCTCCATTTCGGGTAAAGCTAGCTCTATTTCAGGTAAAGCTAGCTCCATTTCGGGTAAAGCAACGTGCTCAAAGGGAGAACCGCGCACGTCGTTTGCATTTTGCAGGGAAATCAAATATTTTCCAATTAGAACACGAATGGGACCATAAAACTTACAAATAATATTCATAAACCTGAATCTCTCGAAACACTATGGTGAGAGTTAGTCAGTTAGCATGCAACAATATCACGGAAATCGTGATATCCGAGCTTAAAATGCCACCAGTAAACACCGAACGTAGTGTTAAACTGCTCATTAGATTGGTATGTTGTGATCAATTTTGTTATATTCACTATAACGCTACTCTTTGACAGGTAAAATCTGTGTATTGTGAAATTAATTCTGATGTGACCAAAGTACAATTCTAAGAATGTTACTTTGAATGGAGTTTCTATTTCGTAGATTTGTGACGATTTTTATTACTTCAAGAGTAATTTCCTTTTCAGTTCCGCCACCATGCCCGTCACTCTACATTGCCTGGAGCATAATAACCACATCGACCCCCGTGTGAGCACGTTTGTGATCCCCGTAGGAGCAACCATTAATATGGATGGCACTGCCCTGTATGAAGCCGTTGCTGCACTTTTCATTGCACAGGTCAACGCTGTGTCTATGTCGTTTGGTCAAATTGTTACTATCAGGTAAGTCTAATAACGGGTCAAGTTGCTGAATGTTTCCAAAAGTAACAAAACTGATTTCATTCCATTTGATATGTAAATTTGTTAAGATGAAACGCTCCACATTTTAAGCAAAAGTACTCTTCTTTAATTTTTTGTTTCGTAGTTTCACAAAAATCAAAACAAATAAAATGTTCAACAACGCAACAGTCAGCGCGGCATCTATGTTTAATGTTTCTAGTAAAATTCCTATGAATGAAATTAATTTTCGGGGGCGGGTATAGGTAATGATGAGCGGTAAGGCATTGTTTTATGTCAATATTGTTATTAGAATTCCCGATAAATACTTTTTTCAGTAATACATTTGACGTATTGACTGAATACATTTAATATAAATACAGACGTACGCTAAACGACTCAGTAATTACAATCAGTTTGATAGCTATAGTAATTCGTCAAAGAAAAGAACCTTATCAAGTAATGTTTTAAAGCAACATCCCTTTTCCATCACCTAGAGGATATTTGTTTTCTTTTATAAAGTTTACAGGAAGTTGGTTGTGGAATGTTATGTATTGTTCATGGGTTTTTTTTGTGCAGAATTACTCTTTTAATCAAAAAGACATATTCTTTATTAGCCAAAAAACACCTTAGGCTTATTGGTACATTCATACATGTATATGCATATACAATTCTCTAAACATAATTAGAATAGACAGGAGAGTGACATCACATTACACATAAAACATCGTTCAAAAATGTGCATATAACAATACTTAGTTAACACATTACAGTTACACCACAATACATAAACCTTTAATTGAATGCTAAATATAAATATTTTCCTAAATCAGTTCCTTCAGCTATCGTAAAGTTTACTTCCATATTGTACTCGTGCGGATATTGCATTTCATTTATCCCTTTGAAGATATAATACCTATATTAATATTAACTTGTATTTATCATGGTAGAGATGAACGTAAATAAATAGCTAGAACAGTGCTTCTTTAAAGAATATTTCTCTCAAATTCAGCATCACCGCCACGGCTGCTTCAATCGGGGCGGCAGGTGTACCCCAGGCTGGACTCGTTACCATGGTGATCGTTTTGGCTGCTGTTGGACTTCCTATCGATGACATCACACTTATCCTCGTCGTTGATTGGTTCCTGTAAGTGTTTTAGCCTATTATAAAATTGGTAATTGGTATATAAGTGTAGTTATTTGGGAACATAGTCACGAAAAGAAGTAATACTTGAAATAAGAACTGGGCTTGATTGTTCAAAGACTGGTCAGCTTCATGTGTCGTTAACGCAAAAAATCAAACTACCTTTTTTTTGTAGAAATATTAAACTTTGAAAATGATTTTGTGTATGATGTAATTTGATGATCAATTCAAGTCATCATGCTTACATCTTTAGTTATGAGTTTCACCGATTTTGAACATATTAACATATTTATTTCCATTGCCATTCGGCGAAAACCTCATGTCTTTCAAAACAAGCTTGATTCATACGTGACTATCATCATTGATCTCATCCAATGGCGTGTTGGCAAGGTGCACGCATACTGGTTGCAAAATAATCTAACCATATTTTCGCAATATCGGGTCTAAGACTTTTAAAAATTTGCTGGTGAAAAATATTGCTTTAAAAGTATATTTGATATTGTTATTTTCTTCCCATTAACAGCGACCGTTTCCGTACTATGACCAACGTGACAGGAGACAGTCTCGGAGCAGGGCTCGTATACGAATTATCAAAACACGAGTTAGCTCCCTTGGAAGCAGAAGAAGCCGGACCTACTGCAGTTACGACGGACAACCCAGGATCAAATAAAGCAGTCTCTAATGGGACCGACTCCATGACGGCTGTGTAAAACGTAGCATTACGTCATATCTTTCCGATGATCAACGAGCCGATGTCGAATGACGTTATGATGACGTCATTTGATGCTTGTCGTTTGCAATTATAAGACGATTGGTGCAAGTTTTGGATTTCTGAGGAGAGCGTGCGTATTAAAAAAAATGTACGGAAAAGACGCACTTGAGAGAAATATATCAGGTTCTTTTGCTAGCCGGCAGCATACCAAACTTACACAAACGGAATTATGTCACCCACCCAAGGTTGTGCCACAAACGGAATTACGTTACCTACCCAAGTTTGTGCATGTTTTATTTCCTGTAGAGAGCTGTATTGTGTACTGTTTGGTTTTAGTTACACATTCTTGAATTTCAAACAAGAATATTTTGAATGGCTAAATATATAAGCTAAATTTGAAAACAAAGCACTAACTTCAAATTAAAAGAATTAGGCAAATATGATACCTAAATAATAACGCACCAAAACTAAAGAAGATATTATTTATGTGGCCAACCAGATTTTGCATATTCTAGTCTGCAAAATAAAGTCGGTCAAAACTGTAA